TGGCCCATCTAGAGGAGGAAAACAGCAGCCTACGAGAGCTGGTGGAGGACCTGCGTGCTGCGCTGCAGAGCAGTGATGCGCGCTGCCTGGCCCTGCAGGTGCGCGGGATGCCAAGGGATGGAGACAGGGGCACCCCCACCTTGGCCCACCCCCTCTTCGGCTGGCCCTCTCCGTTTCCCACTCCACTCCCTTCATTCCAACTTGCACCCCAATTTGTCATTCCTTAAAACTCCAGCTTCACACCCCTGTCCCTTCTAATCCAAGAAGGAGCCTGTCTAGGCAGTCCCGAAATAACGGGTCAGCAAGCATTCTTCTTCGGGGAGGTTTAGGGAAAACCGAAAAGGAGACCTCTCTTTCCCAAGTCAGTGACACCTATGGAATCCTTCAGCGCCAGGCATCGGGCACAAGTGAGAAAGGATGGGTAGCATCGAGGGCCAGGCCCACTCTGAGCTACTGAGGTAGAGAGAGCCATTGAGCGAAGTGAAGACTTAGTCTGGCCTCTGGGATCAGTCAACCAACACTTGAGCCCTGTGCACAGCTCGGTGTTGAGTGCAGCGCAAGTGGCCGGCCAAAGGGAGAAAAGGTCCCTTATGGGAAGAGGACCTAAAACAAAACAAAACAAACAAAAAAACTGGTGTTACATCGGTGCCTCCTGCACCCTAGATGCTACATACTACAAAAGGTGACAAGGTGGCTCCTATGGTTCATATGTGTGGCATGGAAGAGTTAGACCGGCCAGAGGGACCCTCGAAGTGGGCAAAGTCATGTGTGGGGTACCTGGGACTGGCTAAAAGGCTCCGTCCATCTCTTTCATTGTGCCAGCTTCGTCTGTGCTTTGGAACACTGCAGTAAACGAAACAAACCACCCCCATTTCCAAGGATGGGCCTAGTGCACAGATCTCAGGGAGGGCAGAAACATCAGTTTGGTGTTTAAGCCTCGAGTCCAGAGAATTAGGAGCTGCATATATTGGATGCAGGAGTTAGGCCGAGAAGTCACGACTTTGGGCATTGCTGTCACCATACAAAGAACAGACTATGGACTTCCCATATCAGCTTTGGGGGTGGGGTGGGAGTAAAGCACATTTGCATTACTTGCTCATGCCCCCTGCTCAGTGAGCAAGCTTTGTGGCGTCAGGGGAGATCCCCGTAGGCTCCTGCAGTGGTCACTCACTCTTGCTTCCCTCGGGCAGGTAGGCCTCTGGAAGAGCCAGTCGGACATCCCGGAAGCTGCTGCGCACAAGCTGCAGCGAGCGCAGGGCGCGCTGGCAGAGGCAGAAGCACGCGCCCGGCGGCTGCAGCGGGGACAGGTGGAGGTGCGGCTGCGCACCGAGGAGGCCCGGCAGGCGGTGCGGCGCAGCTTGCACCGAGTGCGGGAGCTGGAGGCGCTGGCGCGGCGCGTTCCCCGCATGCAGCGCCAGGTGCAGCGATTGGAGGCGGAGCTTAGACGTTACAGGTGAGAGCGGGAACTGACACAAACCAGACGGGGCGGGTCCTATTCTCTAAACTTGGGCGTGCAACCCCACCGCACGTGCTCTAGTGTTCATTCCTATCTTCGGGTATTTATGCATGATTCTTCCATTTCTTAAGTCATTGTGGACTCCATTCATTGGTCCATCTCTCTATCCATCCATCCGCTCACCCACGAAATCCTTTTGTTACTCTTGGATGGATTGTAATCAGCAAGACTCATTCTTAGCTTTTTAGTTTGGTCCCGGTTGTCACCGACTGCACGCTGTGTACAGGCCCTGAGCAAAGCACTTTATGGGCTTGCTTCAGTTAATCCTCAGGAAAGCTAAGTGAAGAGGGTCCCAACCGTTATGACCCCATTCTTCAGATGAGGAAACAGGTTTAGAGCGACCTTTTGTTCTAGCTGGACCAGGGCAGGAAGCTAGACTCAAGAGGGAGGCACTGACTCTGTCAAGGCTGCAGACAGATGTGTCACTCTGGCAAGTCACCAGCTTTCCCCCAGTCTGTTGCTCTTGGGTGGAGCAGACTGGAGTCTTTGCAGAGTAGGACGGCTGTGAGACTCTGCCTGGCTGTGCTGGGTGCACATTTTTTCACATGGCAAAGCTGGTCAGCCTTCCTGACTTGCACAGCAGCTGAGACCTTCTCTGGGCCACTGGCTACCTGGTGAGGGGTGTGACTGTGAGCAGGACAGACAGAAATCCCTGTCCTGAGCTGCAAGAGGGGAGCATGAAACCTCCACAGGAACAGACTGCGGCAGCAGGTGGGACAAAGAGCCGGGGGCAGGTGTGTTCCTGAGACAGGCTTAGCCTGTCCTCTGGCCCAGAAGTGGGAGCTACAAGCTGAGAAAATGGGAACAATGGGGACAAAGCCCTCAGGGCTAACATAGCACATTCCAGAAAATAGATAGGAGTCAACATAGCTGGAGAAGTACAGCTAGTGAAGCCAGGAAAAGCCAGGCATCTGGAGCCTGAAGGTAGCATAACCTTTATCTTCTCCTTAGAGAACATGAAACCATGGAAACGGTTCAAGTCAGGATGGCCCAAGCAGATTATATTGTCAGAAAGAAAACAAACAAACAAACAAACAAACAATCCTGTATCAGCTGCGACAGGGCAGAGAGAAGGGACATAGAACAGAAGACTGCCTAGAGGAGCCAGTGAGGACAATTCTCCCTAGAGAGGGTGCTCTGAGCCAGGTCGGGGGAGGACAGCTCAAGTGGTGACTTTGAACTTATGTCCTCAGAGGAGGGACCTCATTCTTGACTTCTGAGGCACTCACAGTTGGGAGAGACTGACCCTGGCCAGCCCCTTGCAGCTCCAAATGTTTGGATAGTTGCTTCCTGTTTGTCTAGCTGATGGGCTACAGATCAGTGCTGGTTGACATGAGGTCTGTGTTTATGAGGAGAAACAAATGGTCTCCTTCGTTTTGCCTTAAAGTCACAATTACTCATTTATGCATTAAGACAACTGTAACGTTAGGAGAGAGCTTTACAGTAGAGAAGGAAGACTCCTACCCATCTCAGCGTTTGATCCTCAAAACTATTATACACGGTGGAGGTCTCAATGCTCACTTTACAGACTGGGGAGGAATGTGGGGCTGTGAGGAGTTAAACATACCTGAAGTGATGCAGCCAGAAAGGAGGAAAGTAAGGACTTCCGGCCCCACAGCCAGTGTCCTCCTTTCCACTCTGCATGTTTGCTGTCGCCACTGTTTCGCTGACCACAAGATAGCTGTGGTGCCCACAGGTCTTGCATTTACCATTCAGGCACAAGAACAGACAATGCTGGAAGGAGATGCTCTCCCAGGGAACTGTGCGCCTTTGTATTCTTCAGAACTTGAACCTGGGTCTCACTGGCCAGAACTGTGTCATTTTCTGCTGCCACCCACAGTGGTGTCTGATGGTACTGGTGAGCCCCAAATACCATCCAAGTTCCAATCTTAAGGAAGCAGAAACAGCTGCTGTAGAAGCCTCAGATGAAATACCAAGTGCCGGGGCTGGAGAGATGGCTCAGAGGTTAAGAGCACTGACTGCTCTTCAGGGGTCCTGAGTTCAATTCCCAGCAACCACATGGTGGCTCACAACCATCTGTAATGAGATCTGGTGCCCTCTTCTGGTGTGCAGATATACATGGAAGCAGAATGTTGTATACATAATAAATAAATACAATCTTAAAAAAGAAATACCAAGTGCCTAGAGGAGTAAAGTCAGAAAGAAAAGGAAAGGCCAGGAAACCTAGAGTCTGGAAGGAGAAAACCAAGAACCAGAAGGTAAAGGTCACAGGATGACTAGGTGAATGAATGGTTCAGGAGGCAGAAATTCTCCGCTCATCTTCTGTAGCCAAAGCTACCAGGCTTTGGACTGGCCTATGCCAAAGTTTCCAGTCTTCGAAGAAAGGGAAGAGAAAGAGGCAGAATAGCCACAGACACTAAGCATTGCCTGATACCAGGAACCTCTCCCACGTCAGTGCACAGGAGCTCAAATCCAGCCTGAAGATGATTCTTATTGTATCACAGACGAGAAAGCCAGGCCAGCAAAGTTTGTGCCAGCACGGTTCTCTTGGGTTTCCCCACTACGGTCATCCCCCACCAAACATCCACAGGATGTTTCACGAGCTGGGAGGGTGTGGTGGTCAGGCTCTGTGTGGAAAGGTTCATTTTGGGTTGAGGTTTCGGATGTTTCTGTTATAGTCCTTGGGTGGACTGATACTGGGTGACAACAGCATATGGCATAAGCGTCTCATCTCATGATCACAAAGAAGCAGAGAGAAAGGAGTATAAAGGAACCAGGGTCAGCTACAACTCACAGGGGCATGCTCCAGTGCCGGTTCCTCAGTCAGGCCCCACCATATCCCATTAGCCACCTCTCAATAATGCCCCATATTATGAATTCACCAAGAGGTTGAGTATCGTGATTACGTCAGAGCTCTCAAGATCCCATCATCTCCCCAAAGCCCATCATCTAGCAACCCAGACCCCAACATGTGAGCCTGTCGGAAACATATCTTATTCAAACCACAATGGGAAGACTTGTGAGCTACACAGCCCCTCTGCTTCTGCATTGTCAGGCATTCAGATGTCTTTGAGGGTTAAGCCACAGTCAGCAGGGACAAATGGGAGGTAGGGGCCACACACTGCTCTCCTAGGCGACACCATGTTAACATGTTCCAAATGTTCTTGGGGGAAGAAGCATAAAGCCATTTGGAATAACCTGACTTCCTGTTCTAGTTTTCAAATAGCCTTCCACTCTGATGCTAATTAAGGATGCCCTAGAGTTAGAAGCTTGTCCACTCAGGGTCTGGTTGGATCTATTAAAATCACAGATGGCGCACGCCTTTAATCCCAGCACTCGAACACTATGAGTTCGAGACCAGCCTTGTCTACAAGAGCTCGTTCCAGGACAGCCTCCAAAGCCACAGAGAAACCCTGCCTAAAAAAAAAAAAAAAAAAAAAATCACAGATCAAGAACCCAGCTGAGCCAGAGCTCAGATTGTTCCCAGGTTCCCTATCTCTACTACTTTCGTTTAGTTCTTTTTCAAATCCAGCTTCCTTTTTCCATCCTGTTCTGTCCTGTGTTGTAGGTTCCATCCAAACGTCTCTAATTTTTAGACAGTCAGTCTTCTGTTAAATAAGGCCTCTATGTACCATATTCAATCAATGGAGGACCAATAATAGCCAGAAAAGGCTGTGTCTATGCCGGACATAGTTCTGTGGAATCATTGTTTCTGTGCGGCATAGTGTCACAGCCACGCATACAGCATTAACTTCTTGCTAAGGCTCTGGAAAGACGATTTAAAAGTATTCGATGTGTGAAGGTTGTATAAATACAATGTCAATGTATACAAAGGTTAAGCAGCCATGGATTTGAGTGTCCGTGGCGGTCCGGGAGTCATTCTTCTGCAGACTCTGAGACAACCACACTTACTCTTTGGATTGCTGTAGTGTCTGAATTTCCACAGTGTTTTTATACCTGCTGTCTCTGTTGTGATAATGTGTTCCTGGAATGCTGTGCAATTTTTTGCTGTAAGTCTATGGCAAAGCTGCAGCCCTTGAGAGTCCCAGGTAGAAACAGGGTCTCCCCTGTCTTCATCATAACCAAAGATGGAATCAAAACCAAGATGGAATCCTAACCACTTCAAATCAGTTTTGAGTTTTCCCGTTTTATTTTTGGGAGAGATTAAGCCTCCTACCTGGGGATTAAATCCCCAGGCCTGGGAATGGAATTTTTATCATCTTACATTATTTGAACTCTGTGGGAGCCTCTTGCTGATTCAGCAAACTGTGTTTTGTATCCTACCCTTCTGGGCATTTTATTAGCACTATCCCTTGCTCCTCAATTGAACCAGAGGCCTCTTCTTGCTTCTGACTTTACTTGGCTCTTTTTCATGTTAAATTTTGCCCATGATATCTGTTTGTAGATGGGAGAGAGCTTTCCAAAATGCCCACCAACTTAAAAAAATGCAACAAATACTTACAAAAATCATTTGTTTGTTAAACCATGCTTTTTAAGTCCATGCTCCATGGACTAAGACCTGTGTTGTCTTAATTAGGGCTTATTGCTGTGAAGAGCACCATGACCATAGCAACTCTTATAAAGGAAAACATTTAACTGGTTTAGTCCATTATCATCATGGTAGGAAGCATGGCAGCACACAGGCAGACACGGTGCTGGAGAAGTAGTTGAGAGTTCTACATCTGGATTGGCAGGCAGCAGGAAGAGAATGTAACACTGGGCCTGGCTTGAGCATCTGAAACCTCCAAGCCCACCATCAGTGACACACCTACTCCAACAAGGCCACACCTCCTAACTGTGCCACCCCCTATGAGCCCTTGAGGGCCATTTTCATTCAAACCACCATATGTACCTCAAGGATAGAGAAATGGAACATAAACACTCACTGTACTCAGCTGGTCTCCTGGCCCCATGAAGCAGGTCCTGGCCACACATATTATAACACAAGTGTCATGTGGGGACCACAAAGCTGCCAT